CTTAGTCATCCTATTATCTGTATGCTACTTGTGATCTATCACCTGTTGTTGTCTAAGTTAATCTGCTGCTTATCACAACATATCTTGCATATGTACCGCTCATCACTTGGTTGTTGTCACTCCAGCTTTATAATGTTGGAAGCATCTACACCGAAACATTGCTATGTGCAATAAACCAGAGTGAGTGAGTTGGGTATAACGCCACTTTTTTCCAACAGTTTTCCAGTTATATCACGGCGTGTCAGCTTAATGTGGGAGGAAAGCCCGAAGTGATGCAGGTCTCAGACGTTTACCACTTCGCTGAAACCCACAAGCACGATATGGTGCTGACAAACCTAGAAACATAATCGGGGCGAACCGGGATTCGAACCCACAATCATAGGTTTCTGGCATGCCCAAGGGACAATAAACCAGAAGTTGTTATTCATAAAGTTGTACATTTTCTTACTTACTCACCAACTTCTAGAATGCCAATCAAACAGTGAGCTTAATATTGCTATTTCTTGGTCTATTAAGGTGACACTTTTGTAATTTATAGGCTACAGATCCTCTGACTACATCTGAAAGTACTGCTGAGAAAATATTAAAAACATATAAAAAAGTTTTTAATATCCCACCACCCCTTGTGAAATAAAGAACAAATAAAACATTGATATTTCTGAAAAACTGAATGCAGATATGGCAACGCACCCAATGTTACTCACTTGAAAGTGGACCCATGAAGATCCAGGTTAGTCTTCAACAACCCATGCTTGTCATAAGAGTTGATTAGCAGGATCGGGTGGTCTATTTTGCTGACTTGGTTGATGCATGTCATCATATCCCCATTGCGTCGACCGATGCTCATGATGTCAACCACTGGATTGTGTGGTCGAGGTTTGATTATTTACAGATCGCCGTCATATAGCTGGAATATTGCTGAGTAGTGTTAAACAACAAACAAACGGACAAACAAACACTTGAAAGTCATGATGTGTACGTGAGCTTTGGGTGAACTTCAGCTACTGAGGTCATGTCATGGATTGAGTGTTGAGCATATCCAGGATTGCCAGGCATGGAGGAAGGGGGAGATTAATTCATACATTCTTCATCATTCCCGGAGTTTGAAGCATGCCTAGCTGCATAGATGAGGGTTATTGATCATGGAGTGTTTAATCACCCCTGAAGCATGTGAGACATCTGGCCGTGTTCGGATCTGCTAAACACGACAGGGTACACAACACACTGGTTGCTGCTGATTGAAATCAGACAAGAAATATATCGTGTTTTAAAAGAAACTACAAATTTTCTGTGAGTTACAACATTGAAAGCCCCATTGATATTCTTAGTTAGAATAAGTCCCCATCAACCAAAGAGGTATCGGGTACTTAGGTCTAAAGATGAAGACAAATGTTTTTTGAAGAATACAGTGAATTCTCTGTCAGAAGTTTTGAACTTCTAAAATCACATAAATACATTTCTAGGACCTAACTGTCTGCCCAGAGAGCGAAAGGTTGGTGGTTCGATCCCTTGACGTGGCATACCAAAAGACGTTCAAAGATGGTACTTGTTGTTACCCTGCCTGGCACTCGGCATTAAGGGATAAAATGAGGATTGGTCAACTCAGAATCTGTTTCCAGTCAAGTCTCGTTAATCCGACACTTGTTAATCCGACTTTTGGCTTTATCCCAATTAAATCAGTGCTATTTGGACCCCTTAATCCGACAGTGTCACACTCCGACTCCAACACACCTAATTTGCAACAAGTTGCTGAAATCACTCATTAATCAGTCTCATTAATCCGACAGTGGTCAGACTACTCCGTGGGCATAAGGCCCTTGAGTACACAGCCCCGTGTTTTAATGCAAGACGTGTCGACTGGTAGCTGCATATTACAACAGCTGCAGAGATAAACTTGCTCAACAATAAACAATCAATGCTTTATATAAACAAAACAGGATTAATCTCATGTTTTGATTACCTCAATCTCATTAAATTCAGATATCAGTTCTCACTACCGCTGAGGACATCCCATTACAGGTCATGTCAGAATGACCTTTTGTGAACTTTGAACGACCAATGAAATAACTAACAGGAAGTCAACATTAGCTTCTAAGAAAGCAGCTTTCTTGAGCACTGCGGCTCAAATATCAAACTGGCGACTTCTATTCCAGACGATGCTTTCAAAAGTATTTTGAATCAGTCAGACAATACTTTGTGTTGAGCTTAGAGGTTGCATGATTAGAAAACACATTCCACTAACAATGTAACTTAACAACATGAATATTTCATTTTCATGTTTTTATTACGTGTTTGTATCGTTATCTATCGTGTAGTTGTTCGATTTTCGATAATGAACACTGATAGTAATTATTTTCGTTTGTCCGACATACCGGTACTTGTTAATCCGACATAATCATATGCAACCAACCATGTCGGATTAACAGGACTGCTTTGATTCAGCGTGGTATCCATGTTATCTGTGGCTTGGTATTTCAGAGGGTTAGTACTATGAAACTGGCATTAGTTTGAACTTGTACCAGTAGCCACTCACACACATGTGAGTCGCTATTGGTGCAATACCCGTTCCAGTATGTCACCTCTTAGATTCGGGGTAGAAAAGGTCTTCAGCAACCTATGCTTGTCGTAAGAGGCGACTAACAGCATTGGGTGGTCAGGCTCGCTGACTTGGTTTATGCATGTCATTGTATCCCAATGATGTGGATTGATGCTCATGATGTCAATCACTGGATTGTCTGGTCCAGATTCGATTATTTACAGACTGCCGTCATATAGCCGGAATATTGATGAGTTTGGCATTAAACAACAAACAAAAAAACAAATCTTACGACCAGCAGAGGTTCCTGGGGACCAATTCCAACACAGGATCTCTGAAATTGCTGTAAATCCCTTCACCTTCAATCACTAGCTCAATTGGCAAAGGTTTTTATTTCATCATAGTCAATTCATATTTCTGAGAAATACTTTTTTTCTGACATAATCCAATGAGACAAGAGAGCATTAAACTTCCAAGATAATCCATGGTGTGACGCTACTTAGTTGTAACTTAATTCCAGTGCTAAGAATGTTAGCTTCCCTGTAAAGCCCTTCATCACATTCAGTGACAGATACAATATTACAAGCAGGTATAAATGTCATCTCTGATATGCTCCGGAAACATGAAGGATCCAGACTGAACTAAAGCTCTCGATATCATCTTATCAGCCGTTGTTCTCCGCCCTTGATCAGATACAGGGTGGGATGGTTTGGCTTCCAGTCATCTGGTTCTCTCTTAGCGTCTTAGAGCAATGACAGCAGAATCTCTATAGAATCTGGAGCTGCTGATGATGGTGCTGGGATCATCAGACAACTATAGTGAGTGATTGTGATGCTGGGTTGTATAAGCAAAGCCAGTTGAGGCGTGGCTGAGGTACTGGCACAGCTGTGCATGACACGTTTTAATTGGCTGACATGTAGACTTCATTGCAGTGTCCATCTTCTATAATATCTATCTTGTGATGGTTAGTAGCTCTGTCACGATTCGGTCAATCGGAAAATCTAAAATTATTTCTGTTGATCCTACCAACATTACCACATTCCATTTATTGGTGTGTGAAAATTGTGAGCTTGGCGTTGTAAATAATTAAAATAACAATTGATGCCTGTAACAAGCTTTTTATGACTAAAATCCGCTGAAGGTACCATGCAGCATCTGCTTCCCTCGGTCCTATTGCACACAATGAATGCCTGTCAGAGATTCAGGGATTAATCCCCTGAGTAGACAACTGAAGGCATCTTCTATGTTGTTACTAATTCTTGGAATAAGTTGTGTAGACGGTAATCAAACAGATGAACAGACAGAAAAGCCCCTTAATGTGATTTAAGAATCCGAGGTGGAGTGGGCATACTGGATGCCAACCAGATCATTGAAAATGCGCCGTGTGACTATCACCGGGAACATGTTTTAACCCAAGTGGCAGATTTTTTCATTTGGGTGACGATTTAGCTGATCATATTTTATTGTCTGCTTTTTCCATTTTACAAATTTAATTTTGGTCAAGCATTTGTGATTAAGCATACCCTAAAGTATTAAAATCTGCAATGTTGCTATGTTCACTGTACTTGCCTTTTAAGTAATCTTTTGATCACTCCATTCTAAGCCTGAAGAGGACTTAGATGACAGCTCATATGTCCTTGTGCATATTGTAGATTATTTTATAGAAAAAACAAAACAGTGTAGAAGGGGTATGTGATTGCCTCTCAACTAAGATCGGTTTTATTGATGTTTGAACCAAGTTTGTTCTTAAACACTTGATCTCTGAAAACAAATTTAGCTTGTGGTGAATGATTTTAATGAGAACCTTCCTTTGTCAATGTTCTAAAGTAGTAAAGAGGTTGGGGGTACTACGCCAATCAGCATTAAATTATATCATGCTCAGAAATTGTAGCAAATTGTAGCAACTGCTTAGCAAAATGTCGTCTGGCAGCGTCATGATATAATTTTATGCGGATTGGCGTAGGACCCCCTACGTCTATACTATTTGTGAGCACCATGTATAGGGAGACCAGTGAAGATCCGGGGTAGAATACGTCTTCAGCAACCCATGCTTGCCATAAAAGGTGACTATCCTTGTCGTAAGAGGCAAATAACGGGATCGGGTGGTCAGGCTTGCTGAACAATGACAATGTAATTAGCTAGTCAATGAGCCTCACATCCGATACCCATCTTAGTCAGCTGTTACCACAGTTAGGCTCGCTGACTTGGTTGATGCATGTCATCGTATCCCAATTGCGTGGATCGAGACTCATGATGTCAATCACTGGATTGTCTGGTCCAGACTCGATTATTTACAGGCCGCCGTCATATAGCTGGAATATTGCTGAGTGCGGCGTTAAACAACAAAGAAAACAACACTAGGGTATTGGAAGGGACCTGCAGGGTAGAGATAGTGATTGAGATGTGTACTTACAGTTGCTGGCCCAACCCAAATATTTGTCATTGTCGGTTCTACTCTTTCCAGGTGCAATAGGTGACAAGGACGAGGAGGGGAAGAAGAATGAAGAAGGGGATGAAGATGAGGATCCCGAGATTGCAGAAGCCCGAAGAGAGGCTGAAGAGAAGAGGAAAGACAAACATAGAAAAATGGAGGAAGAGAGAGAAGAACTGCGGCAGTCCATACGAGACAAGGTTTGTTAGTTGTCTTTCTACTCCGGTTTGGTCCAAGTTGGTGAGTTGTGAAGATCCTTATGGTTTTGTTGTAAGGAGATAATGTGGTCCATACAAGGTTGGTGAGTTGTAAAGGTCCTAATAGATTCATTGTAAGGAGACAATTTGGTCTACACAAGGTTGGTGAGTTGTGAAGATCCTTATAGATTCGTTTGATCTGTACATGTATTTTGGGTGTGACTGTGAGAAATGGTGCACAACCTCACAATCTCACTGTACATCTTAATTTCAGTATGGCTTGAAAAAGAGAGAGAAGACCCCGGAGGAAGAAGTCGCACAGCCACTAGCTGAAGGTCGTATAGGACGCAAGAAGAAGACGCCTGCAGAGCTCGCGGCAGAAAACAATGCAGATTCAGATGACGACGAGTTATCAAGTAAATTCTCATCACTCTGCTGCTGCATGAATTTTGTCTGAAACCAGGTTACCATGGCGACCCTGGATTATGTGTATGTCAAGGTCACATGTTTATGTGTATTACCAATGTCAAGGTCATAATCGAATACTGGGAGTGGTATGACCTGAAGTTTGTCTTCATCTCAAGATGTAGATCTTATATTGATGGGTATAGTCTGAAGATACGTCGGAAAACTGATTTTAGTCAATTCATTTATCATTGTGTTCTTAATTGACTTGTGATACCATTCAACCATCACCTCATTCCCTATGGTAGTGAAACTGTGTCGGACTTAACTCAAACTAGTGGGTAGGGCACCCACTATTCTAAGGAACAGTAACTCTCTGAGCACAGTTGCGTCCCTTAGCTGCGGATCTTCCCCACATAGGATTCTTTGAGCATCAATACGATACCCAGGAGGTAGATTACCTCAAAGTGATAAGCATCGCAAACAGTGTCACTTCAAGCTCCCCAATATTAAGCCATGAAGTAACTGATATGGTGTTGAAAGCAGTGTTAAACACAACTCACTCACTCACTAGTAGAATAGCATTAGGAGAAGGAGGTGATGTGTCTTGTATCGCCTCACAACAACTGTATGAGATCACACAAAATTATTCCAACAAGTTGGAAGTTTGTTAAGAATTAGACAAGTGGGATGGATATTTTATTATTTTGTATGGATTTCCTGCATCAGCTGTGTAGCCAGCTGATTTAGGGACGTCAGATGATGTCAGTCGAAAAATATGCTGTGATGGAAGCTTAATATAGGGCTGTTGTTGATTGAAAGTTTAACGTATTGAAATATCAGAAATCTAAGAATTGATATATCAGATATCTAAGAATTGATATATCAGATATCTAAGAATTGATATATCAGATATCTAAGAATTGATATATCTGACATCTAAAGAACTGATACATCAGAAATCTAAGAATTGATATATCGGAAATCTACGTGTTAATATAAGGAAATCTAAGAATTCATATATTGCAAATCTAAGAATTCATATATCTGACATCTAAAGATCTGGTATATCAGAAATCTAAGTATTGATTTACTGGAAATGTTAATATTATTACGTTGAAACTCTAAGTATTGGTACATTGGATGTATAAGTATTGATATATTGACTGACAATATCACAGTAAATATGTGAATATTTTGATTGAAATATTATCAAGATATATCGATACAACAATTAATAATAAAATGGAAAGTATATCGGAGACTTAGCTTCAAAATATACAATAATGTGTATGTTTGAAAATGAGTTGTTAAAGATATCAACTGTTCTATTCTTCATGTTACCTTTGCAGGGTGTAACTTTAAGGCCTTCTTAGTTCAACTGTTGAATAAGCTCAAAACACATCAAAATGTTGAATGAGTAAACATATGTTTTAATGTGTAATAATTAATACTTGTATCAATTATTCTGTTTTAGCTTTGAAGACAGCCCTAGGTTCATGAGTGATTGAAAATACTATAAGTCAATCAGTTTTAAATATATAGTACACCTTGTGATATTGTGTGTGCATTCAACTCACTGGCTCTGTAAATCTTGAAATTAATGCGAGCGTGAATTAAATTGCGAAAAATGCGAGTGGTCTTTGTTCGCATTATTAACCATTGCATTTATATCAACAATAAGACATTTTTTATAGCAGAAATACCAACTTAGACCTACGCTGAAAACAAACAACTATGTATTCCACATCACTGTTTATTGAGCAGCACTTGTAACAAGTTTATAAACAATGTCATTCAAACACTAATTACATCCTGTGAATTGTCAGTGCTGGGGCCAAGACAGGAGTTCTACTAACTTATGTCATCACACTTACAAGTCCAGACAGACGCCACCCACACAACACGTTGTCTTTGCGACTGCGTCAAAGGCCGACACGAGCCAGCGCGCATGTATTGTTTAAGCGGAAGTACTCTACTCAGCGCCAATAGGCTGTTCTATTTGGTGTGTGATTGGATTAATGTAAGGTTGGATTAAGGTGAGGATTCTCCTGTAAACCTGACAGAGGACGTTTTGTTTAGATATAAATCCACTGATGCATGAGAGGAGGGGGCTGTCGCATTCATATTGAGTCGCATTTTTGGCTAGTGGCCAGCGGTCCCATTCTTTTGGTGACGCATTAATTTCACGATTTACAGTCTGTGACTTAAAAGCTCAGTGCACTATACTAAAAGTTTAAGTTTCAAGGCAACGTGTTAACAATGTTTGTTAAGTTTTAATCTGTTTATGATTAACTTATACACAGATGTGTTTGTTGTTGTTTATTTATGAAGATGAAATATTATGTTTTAGAAGATGGTTGTGTTAGCATAGCAAGTGAATATGCATAATAACTGAGAAAGTATACCACTCATGTTTTGTTTTTTTAATTTTCAAATACCATTGAGTTTAAGATGTGTTAAGTTTTTGTGTGTTAAGTTTTTTTTCATAATCAACAAAAGAATCTTCATTTGTAAACATGAAATAACCTAATGACTTATCACAGTGAAGTAGAATTATCATAACATAAATAATTATCAATTGTTCATATATAGTTTGTGATCAACACCATTCTCATATCCATAAACAGATATACCGTGTTCGACGTAATAAGTGCCCCGCTCTAATAAGCGCCCACGGCGATATTTGCTGATATATTGGCTTGTGAACAATCCCAATTAGCACCCTTCCGATTGATCCATGTACACAAGACTTATTTATTCGTGTATAATACGCACTCGTGTGTTATATGCACCCTTAATTACGGGCAATAAAATTCCTGAAAAATATATCTGTTATGTATAATACGCACAGAGTTTTCTTATGTATCATTTCTGGCTGTCAGCATAAACCACGAAATTTACGATCTTTCAACCCTTTCACCAAAATTATATTCTAATAAGAGCCCCCTATTTCTAATTTTGAGAGCGCCCTGGGCGCTTATTACGTAGAATAAGGTATGTGTAAGCAAATACAGGTACAACTGCAGGTCCATATCTTATGCTTTTCCAGTGTACATATATCACAACATTAATGCTACCATTTTTGGACAATGGAATTTTTTTGGGGGGAAATATAAAACGTCAATGTCAAAGAATAATCTGTCTGGAATATTGGCTGAAACCGATTCCATTGGGTGTAAAAGGCAAAATGGGGAAACAGGGAGGGGGGTGAAATTTCATTTCGAATACTTTTATAAGATTAAATTTGGATGGTTGTTAAATTAGTGATATACTTATGGTCAAAAATAAGGGAACATGTTTTAATGAAATGTTCTGATTGGTCTGGTCACAGAAGTTCTGTCCATAACAAAACATCACTGAAAAGCACCTGTTTTATTCGCTATAATACAAGGAACATTCTGTCAGCTTTATTGGACAAAAGACTTCACTTTATATATGTTCCTTTATTACCTTCCATGAGTATATTCTGAGATGAAGAGTCCAATAGTAGAGTTTAAAGGATAATTACATGTAAAAATTATCTTAAGCTCCCTGGGGAGTATAAATAATCCCTGCCAATGCATTGATAGTATTATTCATGTTTAGTTTATTTTCAGACAGTATGTCCATGATAAATTAATATCACCAGGACTCTCAAAATGACACAAACGATTAATTCAGTTAATGTGCAATTAAAAAAAACACAACTGAATTATTTTTTTTCTGCCAACTGCCAACGCATTTTGAGATCCCCTTTTAGTTTTTGTCAAGTACTATTTTTAATGATTTTCATTGCAAATGTTTCGTCTTATTTCATGCAATATACTTTGTTTTATGTTTATGTTAAGATCATTTTTATCCTTCATACATAATTATATTATGTTTTATATTATAATCCTTTCTTTTATACCCTGTTTATTCTGTTTGAGCACCAATCAAATCTTGTTGACCATTTAAGAGTTGATAGTATAGATGTGCGGTTAGAACCAGTGTACTGTAATTAACAGGGCATTAAAAAAAGCAGCTAGACACCATGACAAATAAATAAAACCAAACTCAGTATATGTGATAAAAAGATAGTAGATATAAAAAACAAAACCAGAAAATTGCAATGAAGACAAATGGATGAGAAATAGTTTTTTCAGCACCTTTTGTCTCGCTATTGTTTGACTTTGACTATCTTGTGGCTCCTGCATCTTCATCTAACCTTGTTTACTCGCCTAATGCATGCTGAGCACTGAGTCACACTGGCTGGTACTGGGGCAAAACTCAATCACGGATATATCTTTTTAACTCTCAAGTCAATAAGTTATTTCTGAGCAGCAGGAAATCAAAAGTAGCCTCTTCGCTTGTTAATTTCTCTATTTTCTGCATAGTTACGATTTTCTCTTTGACCATTTGTACTTACAAACCTTGGGGCAAGTTCGACCCTTGTTTTACTTTCTGTATGTAATATAATTCAAAAGACCTTATACTTTCTGAAGTTTCAAACTATAATTTAGTTTTTCAGTGATTGTTTTCTTTACCCCTGTACCCGGCTGGAATATTCTGAACATTTCTGATATAGTTTCTCTCAGTGTGAGCCTCCATTGGAGAAGTGTGCTTATTGTATTTATAAGTCAAAAGGTCATCTTATAGCCATCTGAAAGAATGATCTGATATTGTTATGGGAGTTTTGTCTGTTGACATGTTTGGGGTCAAACAGCACTTCGAAATTTAAATGTATGCAAATGAGGTACATTGAACTTGACGCCTGTTAAACTGGACGGTATTCTTTGTCCAGTCAGTTTGTCTAGATTTGAAAATTATGGATTTTGATAAAGGACTTATGTGTACAGTCAAACACCATTGTGTCAAAGTTGAACAGACTTACGTAAATACTTTGAGTTATCCGAGGTTCGAGACAACCGAAAAATGATATGAAGGAATATGATGAAGAATATGCAATGATATGAAGGAATATGATGAAGAATATGCAAGAACCAAGCCTTTATTTCAAGACAACCGTAACCTTGACATGTCAAAGTTTGACACAACAGTGTTTGACTTATTCATAAATATACAATATGTTCCTTAAAGTTCAACCCTGATGTTGTATTTTAGACAAAAGAAATCTTGGAATAGAATCTGTCCATTTACTAGATTCCATGTATCTGGATGAATCAGTGTCAGTGATCACATGTGGCTGTCACACTGAGAGATGTATCAGAATCAGGGTCACACTGACGTTTTTATTCAGCATGCATTTCTGCTCTTCTTATCATTCAGAACCACCCTATCCTATTTCATATTTGAATAATACACGCATTTGTAGTGATGGTAGAATGTTTTTATAAACTGAAAATGTTTTTAAAAATTATTATTTTATGATTCCCATTTGTTCATCGGGTAAACAGATGTGAACGTTTTGTTTCAGTGGCCTAGAAACCAGCGATTTGAATGGTGACATTGGTTGTGATATTTGATTTACGATTAGTTTCGTACATATCTTAGTTTTAAAAAAAAAAATACATTACGCCATGTGTGTGTTATTTAATCCGATATTTCCGCTTCCATTGTTGTTTTGCCCATTTGTTGTCTCATTTGCTGTTTGCTATTTTGTCTAATTTTCCAGTCATCTTACTCCATATCAAACACGCAATGCAGATTTCAAAACTAACTTTCTTGTTTTCTTAACATCCTATGAAAATTCAAAGAAACGTTTAGTGTGTCTATTTGTAAGGGATATACAAGCAGAAGGTTACTGTGCTCCTATAGATTTCTATAAATATGAAAGTGTTTATCATTTAGATGATATTGAAACTGACACGAAGAACCTTCTAGTACAGCCTCTCATGAAGTCATGAAGGCCCCCCCAAAAAAGTCAACTTGGAAAGTTCTTTTCCTTTAATTTGCAGTACATCACTTTTAGGAACTGAATTATTGAACAATTTATACAACATTCTTGAATCTCAACTTCAGTAAAAGATCACATTCCTATTTAAACACGTACGCACAGTTACTTCCTGGAATTATCAACCATGTTTCATTTTTTATATAAATGGATTTCCAACTATAAGGAACTCCGAAAATCACCCAAACATTGTGAAACCTTTGTAATCAAGTCATCTTGCCATGAAAGTCAGAACTAAATTCACCCAAAAGGAATCCAATCTTGATAGTTCCACATTGCCACGACCTGAAATGACTCAAGAGGTTCCATATTTAATGTAACCATTCTAGAGCTTAATTAGTAACGACGAAAAAAGATGAAGAGAGTTTACGGATGTCAACTTCTTATTGTGAAGAACACAACGTTTAGGAGTACATGCTTAGCCCTTCATTCACCTGATAGAGTAAGCATGTACTCCGAAACATTGTGTTCCTAATAAAGAAGTTGACATCCATAAATTCTCTTCCTTATGTGTATCACTTCTAAATGTCTTTCAAAGACTTGATAGATGGGTTTGAAATCTGCAATGTATATTCTCAAACACTGAAGAAGACGGTGGTTACATGCATTAACCAAGACAGTTGAAACCATGTCCGCTTCCTGTGCGAACCCTGCCTGACACACAAGGATTATAGGTCATAGTGTATGACGTCGTGGTGGTGGTTGATGTCGTGCTGGTGATGTGGGTGTGCTGCCACTGTGTCCATTGTCTCCTTTCATGTTTACAGGCTTCCCCAAAAACTTAACCGAGCTCCAATCTAAAGTGAGTGAACTGCCAACAAAATTGGCCGCGGGAGTAGGGGAGGTAACACAGAAGTGTGTAGTGCAGTGATCCGTGCAATGTAAGTGATCTGTTGTGGAACCACGCATACACATATCCGTCTGTAATCTGTCATACTGCCATCCTAGCGTGTCCTTCTGTCAGTCCAATGTTGGTCAGTCTGGTCACAGACTGGTCAGCTGTGCATGTGTGTGTGTATGTCGTAGGCTAGCTTTAGCTGTTCGCTGTTGTTTTAGCACCCTTTAGTGTTGTTTCTGAAGTGAGTCCTGTTCGCACATTTCAAGTGGATTCTGCGTCACAGGGCGTGTCCTTTGTTTTATTTAGTGCTGTTTGTACGATAATGCCACAATCATATAGCTGGAATATTGCTGCGTGTGGCGTTAAACAACAAAACAAAACAACAAAATGTACACTAATAACTATTGAAAGAACATGTTTTCAGGAAAGCAGCATGTTAAATATTTGAATTTTTTGCAGTGTGCAATGTATACATATATCAATATTATAACGACATTTGGAAGTGTCAGAGAACGCAAGCTCTTGATACATGATCCAAGGGAAATAACTCTTGTTTAAATTCAAGTTTTTCTGTATTTTTGCACAGTCTTAAATTTCTTCCCGTTCTTATTTTATACCATAGTCAGGAAGAAGATAAGGCAGGAAAATGAATTAAGATTTCATCTTAATCAATGTAATATCATTATTCATCTTCATAATTATTCATATTATTAACATCACAAAAATATATTGAACCATGAGTATAGTGTTCACAAGGGAATGGTTTAATGGTGCTAAGAAGATAATCTGATATATTAATCATTATCAATATCACACATAGTTAAACCTAAGAATAACCATAATAATATTTCATATTTGATAATGGAGGATGTTAGGATATAGTGCGAAGAGAGAAAAGGACGGAATTCTTGCTAATACTCCAATACATCCCTTGTAAGCCCATATTCCTGTATAAGCCCCCTAAAGGGCCTGGGTTACAATTGGTCCCCATCAGTCTTTGCTTGATGTAAGAGGCTACTGAATCTATCATGTAGTAAGACTCAGTGACCTTTTTGTATCACATGGGACATTGTTCCTGGGACATTGTATCAATCACTGGATTGTCTGGTCCTGACTTAACTATTTTCAGGCGAGCCATTTTGCTGGAATATTGCAGAGTGTGGCTGAAACCCCCCCCCAAAATCAAATCTTGTAGAAGAATATATTATTCCAGATTGTAATAAATGGGGTCTGATATTAGTGTATTTATTCCTTTTTGTGGTGTGTAAAACATTTCGCCATTCTTTCCGGGACCAAACAGCTTATGCCACTGTCTTCCTTCTGTTATTTTGTGTTCTCCATACACACAAGACTTCATCTCTTGTTGTTCGCTAAGTCGTCTCATATTTTGCTTCAGCTGTCCCACACTGCACAGGGTTCCAAACTTGAAAACTATTCAGACATATGTAATTAAGATTCAACCAAATAATCGGTAATAGAATAAATGCTCTGGAGACCCCAGACTGTATGTCCCATATTGTGCCATGTATGCCTGGTGAAACTGCTGGGAAAATGGCTGATCATCTAAACTAGAACAGTGTGACAGGAACAAATCAAAGCAGGTGTAGGAGATGTAACTGTGTAGAGCTTGACTTCCAGTTTTCAAAGAATTTTGTGAAAAGCAGCCACTAATGTAGAGATACTTGTTAAAGCTGCTGATAAGGTTAGGTTGATCCAGGAAAGTCAAACACTTAATTAATTAATGGCCCCTATGCTCCTCCATCCCCTTCCCTCTGGATCTGACAGTGGTAATGGCCCCTATGCTCCTCCATCCCTCCCCTCTGGATCTGACAGTGGTAATGGCCCCTATGCTCCTCCATCCCTCCCCTCTGGATCTGACAGTGGTAATGGCCCCTATGCTCCTCCATCTCATTCCCTTGGACCTGACAGTGGTAATGGCCCCTATGCTCCTCCATCCCTCCCCTCTGGATCTGACAGTGGTAATGGCCCCTATGCTCCTCCATCCCTCCCCTCTGGATCTGACAGTGGTAATGGCCCCTATGCTCCTCCATCCCTCCCCTCCGGATCTGACAGTGGTAATGGCCCCTATGCTCCTCCATCTCCTTCAGTCTGCATCTGACAGTGGTAATGGCCCCTATGCTCCTCCATCTCCTTCAGTCTGCATCTGACAGTGGTAATGGCCCCTATGCTCCTCCATCCCTCCCCTCTGGATCTAACAGTGGTAATGGCCCCTATGCTCCTCCATCGCCTTCCCTCCGGATCTGACAATGGTAATGGCTCCTATTTTCCTGCAGGGACAAGCATTATATCCAATAACATTCAAAAAAGAATTAACCTTGCCATATGACTATGCCCTCCAGGAATAGTGTGACATTCTTCCAGTGTGGAATAAAAGTTTTTCAAAGAAATGCAATAGATATTAACTCTGAAGAAATATTAAATAATGTGTGCTTTTAATTTTGCTCCAACTTAGCTTACATTTCTGAGAATTAAACCTGCACAGTTGCTCTTCCAACAGATATTTTCAATTTCTATCAAAACACTAGGCCACAATCAAATTATTTTTAGATTTTCATCAAAATTGTCAAAAATGTTGGGCAGGAGAATTTTGTTTGTATCCTAGGCATCCCTTAACAACTGATATGTGTCACATGAAACAAGAATATTTGGAAGAACAACATATATGTTGCATTTCAAGTAAACAATATTAGGATTCAAAACGACCGAAAATAATTGATTATACGCTGAAACAGATTCCATTTGGGCATAAAAGGCCAAAAATAATAAAATTATATGAATGGATCACTGAAAATCAGTGACGACACCAGGTGTTCGCGTAACACATGAAGCACTTCCCCACATGTCCAAACTTTGGGACATTCAACTGATGCTAGGGACTTGTTTGGACGCAAGACAGCATGGATGAAAATGTAATTATTAATTTAGTCTGGCCTTATATGTAGCTTGCATTTCATATGTTTCTCATCAAGGTCTATGCACCTGCTAAACATGTTACTTATATTATTCACATATTGTTAATCATACATTAAATAGCATTGCCTGAGTGTATGAAGTACACAAATAGTGGATGTTTATATATATATATAAAACTGGACATGGGTGTCAGTCAGTTTTCGACTTTGAATTGTACTAAGATGATTTCAGGTGTTCACAAAGAGCGATACTTTGTAGTATATGCAGTTACATCTTAGTAAAAGTCCAACATCATGTCATTATTCAGTCCCCTTAAAGAATATAAAAATAAAGTTTTCATAATTTATTTAAACTGAGAATGAGTTCTAAAGTTTAAGAAATCTGAAATCAGGGCCCTGTCCCACAAAGCAGTCTTTGTGCTGCAACAGTCGTAAGTTTATGTTAAAGTATATGAGATAGGATCATCTTAGTACTTCGACAGTCGTAAGTCTATGTTAAAGTATATGAGTTACAATCGTCTTAGTACTACGACAGTCAAAAGACTATGTTAAAGTGTGGGAATTACGATCATCTTAGTACTACGAAAGTCGTAAGTCTATGTTAAAGTATATGAGTTACGATCATCTTAGTACTATGACAGTCATAAGACTATGTTAAAGTATGGGACTTACGATCATCTTAGTACTACGACAGTCGTAAATCTGTGTTAAAGTATGGGAGATACAATCAACTTAGCGCTAAGATCACTTTGTGGAACGGGGCACTGTTAACTAATTTTACAATTGACCTCCATATAAATATGCTTCCAACATGTCTGTAAGGTTGTCATGACAACACCTCAATTTGACAAGTATTTTGGTGAATATCAAATCAAACGGTATCACAGCCAAATGTGTTTTAGGTGCTTTGTTATGCATTTGTTAGTTTTATGGCAGGGTTTAGAGGTAGGTGTCACTTTATGAATTGTTTCCAAATGCAAAAATATTTATGCAGGAATTCTGTAAATAGACTTAGAGATGTAGAGAAATAACAAGTGTTGTAGTTTGGCTTTCATTGTTATCTCTCTTCCTTGACATATATCTACATATTTATATGTATCATTTAACATGGTAAGTGCTAAAAGAGAAGGGTAAAACAGTTAAACTATTATTGCCATTACAATGACATCATAATTTTTAATTTAGATAAAACTGCAAATTTGAAACATGAATGACATTAATTTATTTTATTATTCATATTTATTATATCAATCATATATGATTTGCCTTTGTCATTAAATTTCAATGAAAGGTGCATTTCTCTCGCCAAGCAGTAAGATATATTGATATGTGTCATAATGAATATGCTCATTACTAGGTTTTCAGTATATATAGATTAGTGACTGTGCCAAAGTCTAGCTCCGACAAGCATTACTAGTATATGTGTAGTGTATAGACAAAGCATTATTTATTTCATCGACAATACTTCATGGCCTTATATACACAACATTCCTCCATCAACCATCAAAATATACTGAACAATAAAGATAAGTATCATGAGTATTTTGGGGGATATTTTTTTGTAACGAAAACCGAGCACACAACTTCATAAAATAATCCCTCAAAGGTTTCATTATCCTTAACTTTCTTTGTTCAGTATATACAAACCATGTGCGATGAAGTGCTTTTTCGACCAAGTAATCAAACCACAACCTGCTTTCTACATGGGGATGTCAAATTGGTCTGGCCAGTCAACACTCATGGTTAAGAACAAAATGGCAGCTCCCATGCTGAGTGAGGTAACAGAATATTTGCTTCTCTGATTCTAACAGAAAGTGGATGTATTAACATGACTGTCTGCAATGACAGATGTCCTTTAATGCATTAGAACCAGCTGAGGAAAATCTCTTTATTTCCAAGATTCCTTGCCAGGTTTGTTAAAATATCTATATCATTACACCTCTTGCTTTGCAACCATCAGCTCTACACATTGCTTCAATGTGAGGCAATATGGAAGAGCATGCAAAAGGTCCCTGCAAGGAGTATGGCTTATTTGACTCCGATGACCTGTGCAACAGCTCTTTTCATTGGCTGAATAAAAAGACACTGGGACTCTGCCATATATATTCATGGGTGACAGGAATATAGTGTTTACAAGCCCATGAAGTACTGGTGTTGTATTAATTTCTACGCATGTTACTATTCCCAAGACTGATTGAAAAAAATGAGATCTGACATGAATGTATATATTTTTGTAAATTAATTGTAATTTAAATCTGAATCTTAAATGTGTACCAGTTATTCATTCATGCAATGTGAAGTAGTGTCAGATTGTATCAGAAGTTTCACCATAATTTGAACATTACTTGTTCATGTACATACACAGATATTTATTAAATAGTTCATATCAGAAATGTTGGAATCTAAAATGTGTTTCAAGATGTCAGTGAAAACTTGTCTTGCGAAGAAGACTATTGTCCTGTAAAACAATTGATTTTGGATAAAATATTCTATCAGTTTGGGACCATAAGAACACTATGTTTATAGCAGTGATGTGTCTATATCGTAAAATATGGATTTGTCCAAATGGTTGTATGTTTATATGATTACACTGATTCATAATCTCACGTATCACAAAACTGATCACGTGATCCATAACTTTCTTCCACAATGATTGTTATAGAGTAGGGATGTCATTGATTGGAAAGTTTCGTAACGATATATTAACTCAAAAGTATTATGATATATTGATATATATCGATAAATAACAAAACAAGTTATTCTTCATGTTTATGGGTAAAAAACTCTAGATCTGCAATGAATCAACTGCTAAGTATGAGCTAGGCTGATCAATGTAATGTTTAAAATTGAATTTTCTGCCTTCTCATAGTACATCTTAACCATAGTAATCTTGTAAATGTAAATTTTTCAGTGGCAGTGAGTTATTAATTAAGTATCGATATTCATAAATTTGTATCGATACAGTATCAATAAAAATCTTATCGATATTGTGATATACATGACATCCCTTCTATGGTGTTTTACATTTTCTTGTTACCATGACAACAAATTGTACTTATGATTTTTCATTTAACTTTACAGGTTTAGTCAGCCTTAGTCCCATTATGCAAGAGAAGGCATTTGGAAGATGTAGCATTAACATTCTGTTGGTACTGTGTATAGTATCTAGTAGCAACAGTTGCTTGGATACTGACAGACAGTCAGTTCTGATTGGTTAATGATGGAAACAAGATTGGCAGCATATCATGTTTTGCTTCATCCAATCAGGATGGAGACAGATCGGCATGGTAACGATAGACGATGAAGGATAGACCATTTATGTTGCCTTTGTTTCACCAGCGTTTGTTGACAGCATATATTATTTATGTTACCTCTCATGGTTGGGTCCATGTATGGATAGGTCACAATCTCCATGGTTGTATTTGCGGAGTGTTTGGCAATTATTCCACTGGCTGCTATGTTGAAGTTTTTTTCAGTCACTTTAATGAGTTGATATTTTTCTCTCAAGCCTTCAGGATGATTTGGGAATCAGTTAACTGTCACATTATTAATCTGGAGATAATAAATCAATTATTTTTTCAAAAATTTTAATTGTATGGTTAATTTTAAAAATTACATTATTGATAATTATTGAAATATTTTTGCAGGCTTCATGGTTTGATATAAGAATAAAGAATTTTGCAGTTGTGAAAATGTAAGTTAGATTTGGAAAACATCTTGGTATTTTTAGCTACCTCGTTTATTCATTGACATTTATAAGAATCAACTTACAGGCAATATTTTAAGATGCATAATTTTTCTATTATTTTGATGATTCAAGTCAGGGATAAAAACCAGAAAAATCAAGTTAGACATAAACAATATGAAAAGTAATGTGATACCTCTCCATCAGTGTTGTGACCTAATTGGTACAGGGAGTACCGGAGATTCGTAACTTAAGAATTAACAGATCATCACCTGTGAATACCCAAAATGGCACAGAAAACTTGCATCTCAGGCTACTGAATACAGATCACATCCAAATATTGGATTCTTTGTATTTGTTGAGAATTCTAATTATATCCTAAAAGTTACCATTCCACTTAAATTCATCTAATCTCTGTGATTGATGAGAATTCCTATGATCTCGGTATGGTTTGTCAAGTTTTTTTATTGCTTCGTGACATTTGCCATGACATTCAGTTTAAGTATTACATTTGTATTATGACAGAAAATCTGCATTGTCGGCAATAATATGTTCAGGTCATCAAATCGTTTATTTCTTGTTATGCTATTTTATACAAAAAAGTACTTTCATTTTCTTTTCTTTTTATTGTATGTAAATATATTTCTATGTCATTCCAAGTACTTAGTCATATTATCTGATATCTTCCTTATGTTTTGTTATTTATTAATTTTATTTTAATCCAAATTGTTTAACAAGCTCAATTTCATTCAATCTGTTTCTGTATTGGTCATCCTTTTATCTGTTTTGTCAACCTATGTTCTTCAATGCATCAAAAGATGTAGTTAATATTTATAATACATTTATCTAAAAAATTATCTCAACACACTAGGTCCTACAGCACTTATACATATATTCACATCACAAAATTCCAGTTATCTCCCTTGGGTTTTCATTTGTTCACAGTTGCTCCTATACTATAACACTGAGGTGTGTTTTTTACCTGTGTTTGTTATGTAGTACTACTGAGTATGCCCTCATTCTCTTGTCACTCATGGGGCGGTCGGGTAGCCTAGTGGTTAAAGCGTTCGCTCGTCACGCCGAAGACCCGGGTTCGAATCCCGATATGGGTACAATGTGTGAAGCCCATTTCTGGTGTCCCCCGCCGTGATATTGCTGGAATATTGCTAAAAGCAGCATAAAACCATACTCACTCACTCACTCACTCGTCACTCATATCGGATGGTGCAATCACATGGACATTTACATGTTTAAGTTTCCTCATTGTATGACTTGTCATAGACAGTGTTATGTTATCATACCGATAACGGAACCGGTAACCAATGTTTGCTACACTGAGGAATTCTTCAGCTTCTAGACTAGCAATAGACATCATATATCTATCAAATTTATTCACCTTGCAAAGTATTTACACTCAACGTTGGGAACGAGGCATAGCGGAAAATCTCTGCCTACAGATCTTTCATATTCACAAATACTGCATGAACCAGTCAAGTACAGAAGGACTCTGAAAACACTTTTATTATACATATTTTCTTGAATATGTTCATTTAAGGTGTACACTACGTAAGTAGCCCTGTACGGAATTGGATGGTTTGTCAATAGGAAATTCTATATATCAAACGATCAGTGGTGAGCACCAGACAATGCTCAGTTGTTTTGAGAATGAGAGTTAAGGAGACTTGCCATGTTACTGCCTGATCTGGAAGTAGTGTTAGGAAAGAAGGTCGGATTTAGTCTAAACCTCTCTATAAACTAGGTATGATTTCAATTATATCCTAATCATTTTAAAGTATAGAGCTTCATAAGAATCTTGCCAAGGTTATAACATTTGCTTCTCATATGTAGCATATTTAACATCATTGGAGCTGTATAGCAGTGATGCAGATGTTGTTGTGATGGACATGAGGTACCCAGTAATATGGACGATTATACAGGAGTTGTCAAGAAAAACAACTCCAGCCTTTTCACAGAGGAAGGCACAATTATCAAATCAAATGACATCCATTTATGTCCTAAGATTGATCGTAGTGTTAGGGTGTGACGCCATGGCCCTTCCGACAATCTGTCTGCTATGTTTTTCTTGTGATATTTCTACTTAATGTTCCAGGTCTCATATGTACGCCATGGACTCTGTATTGTGAGTTGCCATGGAAACACGGCACTTCACATTTAGTAGAATAGCATTATTCTGAGGCTGTTCTCTCGCTGGACTTGCCTAAAACGCTCCTGTCTTCACTTGGGACAACAGTGAAAATCACTGACTAGGATTTAATACATCCTGAATAGTTTTTTAAGAATTGTTTTCTGTAAATTATTCAGCTCTTGTATTAATACCAGCATGTAACTACATGATATAGGACAGGGTATTCGGTTATCTCTATAGTATGCTCAATTAAATAAGAATGTGTTTGGAATATATGCTATATTATCCTGAAATCATTTTCTATAATTTCATTTTCATGTGATTACTAATAAAGGTCATCCACATAACTGAATCAGAAATATGTTCTTGAGGTCATATTTCATTTTTGCTGAAACTACTGGGTAAGTGAAAGGTTTTCTTAATGAACGTTTCTAATTGATTGATACCTTCACTGGGTGTGCAGGCCGTGGACAGTTTGGCAAGCCAGTGAGAGAAGCCATCTTTTATCTCCTCAAATTGTACCGAGACCATCATGGCTATGTTGTAGACATATTGTGGCATGTACAGAGTTATTGTTGCATTTTCTTTTACTTAGTCCAAGACAATGTTGACCAGAAATAAAGTTATAAATATAGAATGTTCCCAGTGTATTGTTTTTAATTTTTTGGAGTGAGTGAGTGAGTTGGGTTTAACACCGCTTTTAACAGTATTCCAGTTATATCACAGCGTGTCAGATTAATGTGGGAGGAAAGCCCGAAGTGATGCAGGTCTCTGATGGTTACCACTTCAGTGAAACCGCACGGGAATGGTGCTGACAAACCAAAAAACATAATTAGGGTGAACCGGGATTCGAGCCCGCGATCATAGGTTTCTGGCGTGCCCAAGGGACGCAATTCTGCACAGCGAATCACGGCCCCGTAGACGACTGGGCCTCCCGTGCCCCCCTAGAGTGAGTGAATGTTGGGTAGTGCCACATTCGCAATAGTTCAACTTCACTGGGACTGCTTTTTCAGAAGGTATGGCAATCCAATGGTCGCTGAACAATGCTCCGGGCAGAATGGTTGTTGTTGGAAACAACAAGAAAGGCTTTTCTGATCACAGTGACACAAACCCACGATGTGGAATCTTAGCTCATGCTTTCAATCATTGGACCGCCTCCATGGTCTCATGATATAGCGTTTCGGGGTTCGATCCCCGGCCACATCATAAGACATTAAAAGATGGTACTTGTTGTTACCCTGTCTGGCGCTCGGCATTAAGGGGCTAAAACAAGGACTGGTCAGCTCGAAGACAGTATACTGTGTCTGAGTGGGGTATTCATGTTCAACTGCGGTATCTCAGTGGGCTAGTACTATAAATTGGCATCAGTCCGGACTAGTACAAGCAGAGACACACGCACACGCACACGCACACGCACACGCACACACACACGTGCATGCATGTTGCTATATAAGTGCAATTATCTTGGACGCGACGTTAAACCCCATTTCACCTCACCTTTCAATCATTGGTTTGTCTGGTCCAGGCACAATGGTTAGATACCCAAGAAGAACCATGTTAGAATTGGTCTTCAGCAACAGATGCTTGTCGTAAGAGGACACTGACGGATGGATTGGGTGGTCAGGCTGGCTGACTTGGTTGATGCATGTCAATATGTCGCAAAGGTGTAGATCAACGAGACTCACTAGCTGACATTCTATCACGGTAGGGGACACCAGAAACTGGTTTAACATGAATACCCCACTCAGATACTGACTCCGAGCCGACCAAGTTAAGTTTTAGCCCCTTAATGCCTAGCTCCAAGCATGGTAACAACAAGTACTATCTTTTAACGTCTTGGTATGATGTGGCCTGGGATGGAACCACTGAAATTCCCTACGGGCGGATGTTTTACCACTAGACAACGGAGGTGGTCTATGGAAGAAGGTACATTCTTGTAAGTAAGTCATTTGTAAAACATATTGTTGGAGATAAAGCCATCATCTCCAGCGTTGACAGGTGTTTGTTCCAGTACAGCTACGATCATGTCGCCAGTGATACACACCTGAGATGCCAGCTGTGCAGGAAGAACAAATGCACACCTAATTCAACATGCAACTATTGCAAACAATATCAAAGCAAGACTTGGCCTACAAAATATGTCTTCTAGAAGTACTAGGTTGTCAGCCAAAGGTTAAAAAACATCTACTAGTACTTCCACTGCTAATAGTTAGTCAGTGTAGTTTTACGCTGCTTTTATCAATATTCCAGCAATATCACGGAGGGGGACAACAGAAATGGGCTTCACACATTGTGCCCATGTGGGGAATCAAACGCGGGCCCACCCCACTACCCGCCATTGCTATCAAAGATAGGGTGAAGAGGAAAGTGACCACCTGATTTACACACTATAGAGATACTTGTGTGTTCTGTTCTGCTTTTGAGAGATCTCAATGCCCATCCCACCCTCCCATATTGTCATAGGAGCAGGCGTACCTCTCTGATTTGAAAGAAGTCACTGACGTGCGTCCGCTCTGTCAACTGCAGTGGATCCTCTTGGCTTCAGAGAAGCAGCTGAGCTCCACCCGATGCCACATTCCACCTCAAACCAAATGACAGGGCATCATTTAGGAGTGACAATACACTCAGCCATGCTGATTCAGTGAGTTGAGAAGACAATAGAGCGTCATCAGGAGCCATCGTGGATCCAGTCTAACCACTCTCATTTTGAGGAAGATTGTGCAGCCAGCATGGAGATAGAAACTCCTCTCCACCAGTGAGTGAGTGAATATGGTTTTTATGCTGCTTTTAGCAATATTCCAGCAATATCACCGCGGGGGACATCAGAAATGGGCTTCACACATTGTTCCCATGTCGGGAATCGAACCCGGATCTTAGGCATGACGAGCGAACGCTTTAACCACTAGGCTACCCGACCGCCCCTCATCTCCACCAAGATATCAATGTAGCAGTAAAGTGGATGTCTTGTCACACAGTGAACAAACACATGCTACTGGGTTGAGGTCTTGAATGCCATGCCTTTTGTGTAATGAGATCAAAGATCTGAGACACCCCGAAACACATAATTACATTATAAATAATAGGTACATTACCATCAATGCTACATATATGTTCGTAGCATAGGCTTATCACAAGTTAGTTTTTTTGTTTGTTTGTTTCTTGTTTCACGTCGCTCTCAGCAATATTTGCTATATGATGGCGGTCTGTAAATAATCGAGTCTGGACCAGACAATCCAGTGAATGACATCCATGCAATTGGGATACGATGACATGCATCAACCAAGTCAGCGAGCCTGACCACCGGGTCCTGTTAGCATAGTCGCCTTTAATGGCAAGCATGGGTTGCTGAAGACCTATTCTACCCCAGATCTTCACGGGTCTTTAATATACTCAACAACAAAAGTTCCTGTGACACCAATATTTTAGTATATTGTTCAAACAAGTAAAGCTTGGTTTTCAATATTGTATTATATTAAATTTGAGCAAAATAAGCCTCAGTACCCTGCTATGCGGCCCGGGACGTGCCTTCTGTTGATGGGGGAGTATGTAGCAGGGCGTGGAGTCATCCCACAGATGACATCCTTACCTTGTCAGCTTGCTGACGGGGTTAACTTCTTTGGTCATATGGACAAGGAATCCGACCTCGGATCAGAAGGTCCGTGGTTCGAATCCCATTACGGGACTCGGACAAATGAGAGTCAAAAGCATGCAGTTTAACAATAGGTGTCAGCTTGGCCAATCAGCAAACAAAGCTTCTGGCAAAGGGACAGTTTGTAGGTAAAACAGGTCAGATACACATTGTTATAGCGGACTGAAACTAACAACTAGTTACATATATTGAACCGCAAATGAAACGTCACCCAAGTAACTATGCATAAAAAATGTTATCATTTAAATATTTGGGTATTTTTTGTTTCAAAAATTTAACATTATCTTGTCCGGAAATATGAAAGTAAAAAATATAAACCGATCGCCCTAACGCATCATGGTAACGGCCATGGTAACCCGATGCACGTGAGTTTCGTGCAATTTGAAATGCACATGCGTTCCCCCATTTCTTGCCCTATACAAATCCGTCCAGATTGGATAACATTCATTCGTTATTGAATTGCTACCACTTGCCAAGCGACACACCAGCGACACATAAGTGCGGACACCGTGCGTCGACGATTGACGAGCAGACACCTCCACTGTTACAGGCCACACCGAGGACCCATTCTGACACCACGTTATCTCCGGGACCGTCTTCAGTGGGCATCACAGCACCAGCATTGGCGCCACCAGCAGTGGAGAAGAGTCCTCTTCTCAGACGAGAGTCGTTACTGTATCTCAACAGCATATGGCAGAGAGAGAGTCTTGGGACGCCGTGGGGAACATTATGCGGATGCTTGTGTTGTGGGGTGGTCCGAGCATCATGGTGTGGGGTGGAATTGGTCTTGCACAGAGGGTCGGCCCTGTGGTCTTCCAGAACATCGATCCAGGGTCACAGCAGCTCGGTACATTGATCAAGTCTTGAGACCACATGCCATACCTCATTTGGCACGTCGCCGCAAACACGAGTTTCAGCATGATAACGCCCGTGTCCTCACTGCGAGAGCAGGAAGAGACTTCCTCCAGCAGAATGGCATCAGAACCATGCAGTGGCCTGCCCGCAGTCCCGATTTAAATCCCACTGAGCACCTGTGGGATGAGATTCAAAGACGGTTGAATGGCGTCGACCAAGGCCGAGAACTGCAGCTGAACTGCGTCCGGCGTTCCTCAGAGTGTGGGCTCACGTGCTTATGGCCTTCATCAACCGCCTCATCCATTCCTTCTATCGACGTTGCACGGCAGTCATCAATGCACATGGCGGATGCACTGACTTGTGATGCCATTTTTTCAGAGACTAGTGTTGTGTTTCACTTTAAGAACATTTGACACTTTAATTTCAACCTTGATGATCAGTTTTGACAAGTTTCATCTTTTTAATATGTCTCAAAGTATGTTAACAGTATTTGGACAAATAAGGTTTCTCATATATCTATCCATCGTGACGTTTCTTTTGCGGTTCAGTACAGCATCATTCTCCCAGACTACGTTGATATGCGTCAGCTTGTCAGCTTCATGTGGGAGGAAAACCCCACTCGAAACGGGATTTAGACGTTGACCACTTCACTGAAACCAACGAGATGGGTATTTTGCTGGGATTCGAACTTAATGTCTTCGGATCCTGACACACCTAAGAGACGCAACTCGTCACAGTTAAATGCGACGCCTTAAGCGACATAAGCACTCATGAGTGTAACAGATTGATAAGAAAATCAAAAGTATCGATTTCGAGTTCCGATAATTATCGATTATCGATAAACAAAAAATAGTACGGTATAACAAAAGTTGATAAGGAATGCCAGAAGCGAGGTTGGTATCTGTATGTGCTAACGTCTTTCTGCGAACGCGGGGTGACTGTTAGATTTAATGTCAAGTGTTACGTCGGTCACCCGTCGCACAAGTGAGTGAGTCGCGCATGGTCACATCCAGTTGAATAACAGTTGGTATAGATATTTGCCAGAGGGTTTCTAGCACCCAAACCCATGTATAACATTGTGGACCGTGTGGTCGCGAGCCCGGAGCATTATGACACAAACACAGGACAAAAGGCCGG